AAAAAAGGAATCATAATATCCACTCCTTTATTTTTCTATGCCTTTGGGTAGATATTTTTATATTCTCCAATTGTCTTCATTGAGCCAAGCTGTAAGAAAGTAAACTCTCCTTAATCTTCTGAGGCTCACCTTTCTGTAGTTGAGGATTTACTGTGCTGATTGGTTTTGCTAGCATAGAAGTCATCAATGGCCTTGACATGACAAGGCTCTGGGATATGGAGATGAAAGTCCTATATGGGTAGAGTGATTAGAGGGTAAAGAAAAAGAAAATAGTACTTAAGGACTCCAAAAGTTTGACGATGAAAGAAAGCAGAGATGGGGTTGGAAATGTGAAATGGGGTGGTGAGATCCAGGGAGAGTTTCAAGAGGGAAAGGTTCCAGTTCATTTCTATACATTGTTGGGCATTTTCCATCTCCGTAATAGCTGCATTTTTCCTCAGCTTTCTATGTCTGCCTCACAGTAGGTCCTTTAATTATCATCAGTGAGAGTCCATGAACTCACACTAGCCAGCTTTTCTTATCACATTCTTAATACTTCCCTGCTTTCTCTTTTCATTCCTATAGCATGTTGATCCTAGAGCAAGCCCCTACCTCTTACCTTATCAGATGTTCCTGCTTGAATTTCCTACCCCTAGGGCCACTAGGGTCCAGCCCCTTCCACATTAAGCTTCCATATTTATTGGGTGTCAGGTACTACTCTCTGAGTTAGGAGCTTTAAAATGGGAATTTAAGCATGCTCCCTTGCCTCTTAGCAACACCCATTGCCCATCACCAACTTCCACTGGCTGAAAATTATTATTTTTATCTTTGGGTACGAGTGTTTTGTCTGCATATATGTGGGTGCATTTTGAGCCTCTGAGAACTGGAGTTACAGACATTTATGGGCCATGTAGATGCTAGGAACCGGATCCCTGGTCTTCTGCATGATCAGTAAGTGCTCTTACCCCTGGAGTCATCTCTCCAGCTCCTAAGAAGCTTTATTAACCTTTACTTCCACTCTTACCCTTGACCCTCTGTCCGGCAGACTGCTTTGTGGGGTAAGGGTGCCTTGTTGAGCTAAAATATGATTGGGTAGAGGAAGGTGGAGGCTTCCAAGATTGTCCAAGATTGGTTGTCCAAGATTGCTCTGTCCAGGCCACTAGCTGTCTTGTTGTGCTTGGGCTAAGGGAAGGCTGTTTCCTATGACTGGGAGCCCAAGAGTAGCATTAGAGCTGGAAGACGAATTCTGAAAAGACAAAAGCGGTATAATAGGTAAGTTCTATTGTGTACTTCATCCTGTCCGAGGATTTATGAATGTCATCCTGTGCTGTGGGCCTGTGTGAATCTGCCTGTCTCTGTTCTTTCTGGGAGTAGCCCACGTGTTGGTTTCTGTGCTTCCATGCTTGTGTGTAATTGCCCTTCATGTCCATAATTTCCTCCAGCCTAGTGCTTCCCCTTCACTTTAGATGCTCTCTTCAATCTCAACTACTGGTTAAGAATGGCTCCACCTTAATCTCAGAATCCAATGTTTTAGGTTAAAATACACATCAGTTCTCTCATACTCTGAGTCTCATCAAACCCATCTTCCACCTCACTGAGACCTCCAATCCCTTATAGCTGACAGGGCCTCCTGGGTTCCCTTAATGTCCCAACCTGTTCCTTCTAAATACAGGTATGCCTAATGGATCACCTGTAGCCACTGCTGGGCGATTCCTTGACTTAATGCAAGCTGCTTCTCCTCCCTTGTTTACAGCAATTCATTTTTCCAACCCAGCATCTTTCCTCATCCCCAAATCTTGCTTTGAACTGCCTCACAGATAAAGCCATGGGGTTAAAGGGTGGGAACTTTCTCCATTCCCTGCCCCATCCCCCTCCAAATCTGTCTGTAGCCACTGCACACCTGATGTTCAGTGTTATCTTTCCTCACATCCAAGGCTAGATACAGGAGGAGGAGATGAGCCATGGGGAACAGGGATACAGCTCAATGGTAGAACACTTACCTAGCACACAAGTAAGCCTTGAGTTCAGTACCCAGCATGTAGCCATATACACACACAATCAACCTCAGACCGCACCCCCACCCCTGCAGTGTTTTTAGAGATAGGGTTCCTCTGTGTAGCCCCGGCTGACCTAGAACTATCTCTGTAGACCAGGCTGGCCTCAAACTCAGAATTATACCTGCCTCTGCCTCCCAAGTGCTGTGATTAAAGGCATGTGCCACCGGCTAGTCAGCCCTTTCTTAATTAAACAAACAAACAAACAAACAAAAAACTCAAACCAAATTCATTCTTATAATTAGTTATAATAGAGAGGAAGCATGTGGATTGAACCCAGGCTTTGTGCAAACCTGACTAGTAGTGTTATATCTATCACTATGCTACATCCTCAGACCTCCAAAACTAGCTTATACAACTAGGGTACCTAAAGTTGTACCATTTTTAGGATTAGCTAGATCATCTGCTGCCATTTAGACAACCTGTCTCTTCTGTCTCACTTTCCACATCTGTAAAATAGGATATTAATATTTCCTCCTACCACGTCTTAATGAGGAAGAAGAGCAACCAGAAGTCCAGGAAGTGTTTTGGTAACTCTGATTTAGTCCCTTGCTCTATACAGTGAGTCTTATCTTGCTGCAGCTTCACTCTACTTCCCAGTCATGTTACAGAATGTGAAGTCTCCGTGCTGGAGAGATGGCTCAGAGGTTAAGAGCACTGGCTGCTCTTTCAAAGGTCCTGACTTCAATTCCCAACAGACACATTTGGCTCCTAACCATCTAAGATGAGATCTGGTGCCTCTTCTGGCCTACAGGTGTACAGGCAGTCAGAATACTTTATACATAATAAGTAAATCTTTAAAAACAAAATAAGAGCAAAATCTCACATCTCCGCCTTTCAAGCGGGCTAGAAACAGAATATTTTGTTATTCCTTTTTAATAAAAAAATTATTCTATTTTATGTTTATGAATGTGCACCACCTACCTGCATGCCTGGTGTCTTCAGAGGTCCGAAGAGGGTTCAGATCCTCTGGAACTGGAGTTAGGGTGGTTGTGAGCCACCACATGGGTGCTGGGAACTGAACCCCACTCTTGAGCAAGAACAATAGTCTGCTAGACTGCCGAGCCATTTCTCCAGCCTCTGTTGTCACAGAAAATCCAGTCAGGTTACCTTGAGTCAGTGTCTGCCCCTGGGCCATTTAAATACTTGGGATAAGAAATACCTGGTGAAATGTGGTTTCCATGAACCATTCCTGGGTGTGGTTGGATGGGCACAGGAATAAAGTGTAATTGTGATGAGGCAGGATTTAAAAAGTAGGGATATTTAAGGAGGATATCAGCTAGGGAAAGGAGTCCTTTACTCTATGACCTTGTTTACACTTCAATGTGGAGAGTCAAGAACTTCAGTAAAGGTCAGGAACAGTTGCCTTCATGGAGACAATGCTCATTTTCCTTAAGTATCTGAAAGTCTGAGAACAACAAATGAACAGTTTGCTTAGAAGGCATTCCTCTCTTATCCCTATGCCAGAACAATGCAGAGGCCACCTTACAATTCCACCCACAAAAGGGAATTCTCCAGGATAAGAAACACAATCAAAAGAGCTCTTCCTTTTCTTTCTGTTTTCGTTTTTGTTTGTTTTAAATATTTGTTTATGCTAGACATAATGGTGCATGCCTTTAATTCCAGCACTTGGGAGGCAGAGGCAGGCAGATTTCTTTGTGTTAGAGGCTAGCCTGGTCTACACAATGAGTTCCAAGAAAGCCACAACTACTTAATGAGACCCTGTCTCAAAACAAAACCCAAATAAACAAACAAAAGATGTATTTATTTTCTATGTATGAGTGTTCTGACTGCATGCATGTCTGTGCATTGTGTGTGTGTTGGTGACTGGTGCCTATGGAGGCTGGAAGAGGATCCCTGAGGACTATATTTAGAGTCACTGTGTGGATGGTGGGAATCAAACTTCTGAAAGAGCTGTCAGTGCTTTTTCTTTTAACAGCTGAGCCATCTCTCCACACTCCAGCTCTGTTTGTTTATTTTGTTTGTTTAGTGTTGTTTAGAGACAGGGGCTCAGAGTGTAGAATAGGCTAGCCTTAAGCTTGCTGTAATCAATCCTTCTATCAATTTCTCAAATTTTGGCATTATAATTGAGAGCTACCATGCTGCATTTTATCTTGTAATTTTTTATTTTTATGTACACATAAAGCTTTTGGAATCATGGAAAAGCTGGATGCCATACAGGTGTCATATTCTACAAATCATTCAAAGAATATGCCAGATTCCTCTACCAATGTCTTTGTCTATGAGTGGCTCATTGGACCCAGCAGGAGCTCATCTGGACAAATTCTGTAATAGATGATAGTTCTTAGTGCACAGTAGGCAATAATGTCTGTGATGTTTCTAGTTTGTCTTACAGGTGGGAGGTCTGAATGGGCTGCAGATGCCACATCTAAATGCATGAATGGGTTTTTATCATCACTGTTACCTCCTCCTCAGCTCCCTCCTCTTAGCACATCTTAAAACTTAATGAAACATTTTCTTTTCTTGGTTGTTTAACACAGTGAATCTGTGTAGCCCTGGCTATTCTGGTACTCACTCTGTAGATCAGGCTAGCCTGATCCTCCTGCCTATGCCTATGGAGTGCTGGGATTAATGGAGTATACCACCACTGTCCAGTAGTTACACATTTTCTTAAAATTGTATTCATTTATGTATATGTGTGCATGCACTCTCAGAGGCCAGAGGCCAACTCTCCAGAGCCTCTTCTCTCATGTGAGTCAAAAGGATAGAACTCAAGTTGTCAGGGTTATTGGCACTCATCTTTACCAGCTGTGCCATCTCTTTGGCTCTTTAGTACCTAATTTAATTTTTAAGCTCTCTCTAATCTTTGAACCTCTGAGAAATATAACTTCAAAAGCCATAAAATTGGATTGGGGATATAGCTCAGTTGATAGACTGCTTGCCTGGGTTCAGTCCCACCCACTGCATAAACTAGGTGTGGTGGTGCATATCTGTAATTCCTAGGAGGTGAAGGCAGGAGGATGAGGAGTTAGTTTAAGGTCATCTGTGGTCACATAGCAATTTTGAGGCCAGCCTGAGATACATAAGGCCCTGTGTCAAATAAAGAAAAAAAGCCACATGACACTGATATAGCTCTTATTGAGATACTTAAGTGCCCCCATCTCTTTTTCTGCCTGCACTTTAGATTTAAGGATACACTTTCATAATTTTTTTTATCTCTTTTCAATAAATCCAACTTTGCTTCATACTGACTCATTCTGAAAAATCTCTATGGTAAAAAACCAAATCAAGCAACTGTTGAAATAATATTCTTGTGGAATATACCCTTCTCCTGAGAGACCAAAGACTTAAAAATCAGTGGGTATTGTTTTAAAGTTTAAAGCAAAAGCCTGAACAAATGCTAGCTACGTGGAGACATGTCTAGCCACCTTCGGGTTAGAACTAGCCTTAATGCCCTGAGGGGAAGAACTAGCCTTACTGCATTCTTTCCTGCCCACTAATTATAAAGTTGCTAGGAAACCGGCCCATAGGACCAGGCCAGAACTGTTTGTAGTCTTGGTGCCTAAAGTGGACCAATCATTTCAGAAGTCAAGTTCCCTAACTGAATCATGTAATACCAAAGCATGTAAGTCCATGCTTGTAGTTTTGCCCCATAAAAACCTTGCTTCCCTAGACCATGGGGCCACATTCCTCTCCTGTTTCCACAAGAAGTTTTCGTCCCATGTTCAAACGTGTATACAATTTAAAAAAAAAAATCCTCATGTATTTACAGCGGAGTATATTCCTGGTCTTTTGGGGTTCAAGAACTGAGTTTAACAGTTCATTCAAATGTGGATTTCTCTATCCCACTATCTGGTTTCAATCTAGGCATTGCATTGTGATGCTTATTCTAAGCATCACCTGTCTCAAGTTTGTGTAAACATACCACCATTGTTCTCTATATTATCAATTAAACATCCAGCCAGTGCTGTGCAATGGAGAGAATAGGGTGGGACATCCTGGTCTAGAGGGGAGAAGAAAGAAGCAAGAGAATAGGAGCAGAATCAGCAGGAGGGTCTTTGAATCACATGGAGAGATGGATCAGACCTAAGATATGACTAAAAGCAAGTATAATGGGTAGGAAACTACGTGGGCTTGGAGGTTTAGGATGGAATAACTATTGCCCAGCATTGTACTCTAAATTAATTAAATAAATCACAGTCTCTGTGTGGTGATTTGGTTATATAACTGGTTTAGGAATAACTGTTGTTAACTAAAAGATAAATAGTAAATATTAATAACCCACAACAACCAACCAACAAAAACAATCCAACAAAATAAAACAAAATCCAACCAAAATAACCCAGATTCATCTGTGTGAAGGCTGCGAAAGAACTCCATAGGCTTGGGCTATGTGCACCCCGCTGCTTCTGACAGTGAGCTTGCCAGACAACCCCCGAAAACTTACCATTGCAACTGCAGAAACAGACTTGGTGTTGTTCTAGGGACAGGATAGTATGAGGAACAAGGGTAGACTCTCCCCTTCATCTAGCCAAAGGAAAGGGAGGAATTTTGGGTGTGTAAGTTGAGACCTAATTTTGTGCCCAGAGTTCCTTGAGGTTGTATGAAAATAATTTGGGGAAGGAAGGCCAAAGATGCCATGTAAGAGACAACTCTGGGAAATAAATCCCTGTAGCGAAAATACCGGAAGCTGCTGGGGCTCCGTGTGACCTGGCCCTGTGGACTGTGATTGCTCAGATCCCAGATCAAAGGAGTGCAGAGCAAAGCCAGAAACCAGAAGTGCCAGCAAGTCCTCGTATTTTAGTCCCAGCCTGTGGCAATTACCTTTTCTGGAGAAATAAAGATCCTGGCCACTTCCTTCTTGTGGCTTTGTGTCATAGAGTCTGAGTTGGCTAATAGGACACACATAGTGATTCTAGGGGCCAAAGTAGAGGACCACAGTTAGCCACTACCTGCTGATGCATGAATAGGATGCAAGCCATGTGTGAGAGCAGCAACTTATGAAATAGGATCGGTATTCCCTCACTCCAGAGCCAGCCAGTTTTAGGCCTTGTTTTAACTTACAATACTCATTTTCTCTTTATGTTAGAAATATAAACAGCAGGGTGTGGTGGCACATACCTTTATTCCTAGCACTCCAGGAGTCAGAGGCAGGTGGAGGATTTCTGTGATTTTGAGGCCAGCCTGGTCTATAAAGCAAGTCCAAGACAGCCAAGGCTACACAGAGAAACCCTGTCTTGAAAAAAAAAAATAAAAATTATGTTTTTAAATTATGTGTAGGTGTGTGTGGTGGTTTGAATGAAAATGGCTCTCATAGGCTAATAGGGATTGGCATTATTTGAAAAGATTAAGATGTGTGGCCTTGTTAGAGGAAGTGTGTCCCTAGGGATGAGCTTAGAGGTTTCAGAAGTTCTGGCATGTCTAGTGGATCAGGATCTTCCTGCTGCCTGCCGAACTAGATACAGAACTCTCAGCTACCTCTCCTGCACCATGTCTGCCTGCATGCCATCATGCTTCCCATCATGATGAGAATGGACTAAACCTCTGAACTGAAAGCCAACCCCAATTAAATGTTTTCCTTTATAAGAGTTGCTGTGGTCATGGTGTCTCTTCGCAGCAATAAAACCCTGAGGTGCTATGTGTGTACGCATGTAGATATGTACAAGTGAATATAGCTGCCCTCAGAGGTCAGATCCCCTCGAATTGGATGGTTACAGATGGTGTGAGCTGCCATGTAGGTGCTGGGAATCACAGCTGGGTCCTCTGGAGGAGCAGCAGGTGCTGGTAAGTGTAGATCCTTGTCTGTAACTCCAGAGGTTTTCCTTCTCACCAAAGGACAGCACACACTTCTAGATATGCCAGATACGGTTGACATGTTTTATATGTAATAATTCATTTGATCCTCAGAAATTTAATTTTTTTGTTTTGAGACAGGGTTTCTCTCTGAATCCCTGGATGCCCTGGAACTCACTCTATAGACAAGGTTGGCTTCAAACTCACAGGTATCCACCTGCTTCTGCCTCCCAAGTGCAGGGATTACAGGCATGTGCCACCACCACTGGATCCTCAGGAATTTTGAGAACTCCTAATGGCACACCCTGGAATTTCTAGCTAGGCCACTCTCTCTCTGCTGCTGCTCACAGGCAAGAGGTTAGGCTCTTTTGGTATTTAAAGCCTCCTATAAGATCATGGGAAAGAGGGTCATCAAAGGGTAGAAATAGAACTAAAAGAAAAAGGTAGAAGGTACTGAAATCTAAGAATAGGTAAGTTGGCTTTTTTTTTTTTTTCAAGACAGAGTTTCTCTGTGTAGCCTTGCTGTCCTGAACTCACTTTGTAGTCCAAGCTGGCCTCAAACTTACAGCGATCTGCTTGCCTCTGCCTCCCTGAAT